AAACGCATGTAAACGCTTACTTCCCCACATTCATACATACAAGCTTTGTATAGAGTGAACAAACATTTTTACAAACGAACGTTGCATCAACAGGAGCAGAATAACATAGCTGTGTTAGTGTGTTTTACGCCACCTGCTGCTTGTGCTGGAATAAACAGTCCAGTTGTATTTACAGATGAGTTATGGAGACATCTATTAACGTCGCACTTCATTATCATACGATCATACACAGGTACATAAATATAAGAGAGAGAGAGAGAGAGAGAGAGAGAGAGAGAGAGAGAGAGAGAGAGAGAGAGAGAGAGAGAGAGAGAGAGAGAGAGAGAGAGAGAGAGAGAGAGAGAGAGAGAGAGAGAGAGAGAGAGAGAGAGAGAGAGAGAGAGAGAGAGAGAGAGAGAGAGAGAGAGAGAGAGAGAGAGAGAGAGAGAGAGAGAGAGAGAGAGAGAGAGAGAGAGAGAGAGAGAGAGAGAGAGAGAGAGAGAGAGAGAGAGAGAGAGAGAGAGAGAGAGAGAGAGAGAGAGAGAGAGAGAGAGAGAAAGAGAGAGAGAGACGAAATTATCTCTCTATCCCTTGCTAACCACCAAGACGACCTTACCTTCCCTTGGTCCATATCATGAAACTCATCAGAGGGAACAGACCTGTCTATCTCTCTATCCCTCCCATTTCTCTCTATCTTTCTATCCCTCCCTTCCCACCCTCTACCTCTCCCTTCCTCCATCCTTATCCCCGTCTCTCTCCCACCCGCCTATTCTCCATTCTCTCCACCTCTCCCACACTCTAACCTCACATTAAACGCATAATTGGCTTGGCTGTTTCCGCCGTTGTTTCCTTAACGTACAACTGGCAGATGATTACTTACAAGAAGGGGACAACGCGGGTCCTGGACAGGCTGCAGTGTTCAGTGCAATGCCTCATGCCACAGCACACTGTTGCCAGTGTCAACATTATACTTGCTAAGCGGAAAGGGGCTCTTGCCACCTGTGGTGTGGCTTAACACTGATGTGGAGGTGTAACACCACTGACGTGGAGGTGTAACACCACTGATGTGGAGGTGTAACACCACTGATGTGGAGGTGTAACACCACTGATGTGGAGGTGTAACACCACTGATGTGTGGAGTGTAACACCAGTACTGGCTCTCAGGTATCACTGACAGGAATTACGCCAGGAAACAATTTTCCATCAAAAAACTTTGCAATACAATGACATCAGAGATATTGCCACAGGTAATCAGCGTGTGTTTGGTGTTTACTAATTACAGATGGTGCTTCTTGCCAGTCTATCTGCTCCCTTATTTCTCCATTCCCTCTCCACCAAACAATTTCCCATGTACAACACAACGACACATTATATAACAACTACGCACTAAAAAAAACACACTCATACAATCAATTTTTTTTAACAGTAAATTATAGTGAAGATACGAACCTGGAGTTTATCAATGTCCGGTTTTGTTTTCCCCCAAGCCATCATAGTGTTTTAACAAAGGATTATCCACTTACACTGTGGCAAACTGTAAACAAACTTTCTTTATGCAAGGAAGACACAGTTTTACTGATTGCTTGCCGACCAATTTGGTTATTTCCAAAATCTTGGAGTGCTTTTCTCTACTGATTTAAAAAAATTCTGCATATGAACATTTACACTCGAGTGTGTTGAGTAAAGAATAAGTCTAATGTGAAGACTGTAAGGAAATGTTTAGAGAAGTATAGAATGGAGTACGAAGCCTTTAGAAGATAAATATAATGGTTGGAATAAGTTAATTTTTTTTTTGCAGGGATATTCCTGCGCGGGCCCTAGTTAAGTTGTTAATTAAGTACGAGACAAAAACAAAATTTAACAGCCTTTTGCGAGTTATGTAAACATCCGGATAATCCGAAGATTCGAGTTATCTGAACATCCAAATTATCCGAAGATTCGAATTACCTGAACATCCGAAGCTTCGAGTTATCTGAATATCCGACAGTCAAGTTAACTGAACATCCGAGTTATGCAAAATTAAATAACAATAACGTGACTTATCTATGAGAACATCTTTAATTAAAGCCGTCTAGAATCTATCTCATGTCCTACGTCCCTCTAGACGTGTACATTACCAACTAGACTACGATGAGAATAAAACCATACCCAACTTTTATTTAATTATTTATTTGTATTTATTTATTTATATATACAAGAGTTCTTACATTCTTGTACTTGAAATCTGCCTGGAATTAAAGGAGCTTGAAGGCGCAGAACTAATACCCAAACCCAATTTTTGATTGCTACCCAATCACACTCTGGTGAAGGAGAATGCTTCCGTCAAGCAAAAATTGGATTTGCGTATCTGCTCGGTGCCTGCAAACTTCTTTAATTCTGGGCAGACTTCAGATTGTGTCGCTTTAAAGCTCTTTGTGGTCTAGTGGGTAATGTGTGCATTTGGGGAGACGAGGATGCGAGATCGATCCCACTGAGCTGCTCTAAAGATAAAGGGGAGAGGGAAAAAAATGTTGCATTGTAAGCTGACGTAGAAAACAGGTGAACCTTTTTGACGAATCATGCAAGCCATATACCATATTTCTAGTCCCCTCTTCAACCCAACCTTCCACTCATCAGCCAGGGGTCAGGATAAGGATTTGGGATGAGAAGGGAGAAAAGGAATGGTGCCCAACCACTTAGGCTGGTCTGTTAAAAAAAACAACTGATCAATCTTCATAAATCTTTCTTAAATATGAACACAATTTTGTGGTTTGTTGACATCCCAGCTCTTGTTAATTGGTCTCTGACCATGCTTCTTGGTTGATGGTTTGGTCAACCAGGCTGTTAGACGCAGCTGCTCGCAACCTGACGTATTAATTACTGCCTCCTTTATCATGTATCCTTTGGAGGTGTTGGTGAACCTCTCTCTCTTGAACGGTCTGTTAACCGTTTATTTTACTGTTAACAGAATAATTGTTTTGTATTTAGTCAGTTATTTCTGTGCTACTTTTATGTCTCAATATTTTTTTATAATAATACATTTTTTTTATACAGATCTTAAATTTGTAAGAAGAAACTATTTAAGAATATTTGTTCATAGTACATAGTACACAGTGCAGAGTTACAAATAAGATTTCAACCGAGATTTAATAGAGCAGAAGTTGTTGTTAAACACGTTGGACATAATGTTAACAAAGCGCACATACGAATCATACTTATACACCACCTACGTAAGACAGAAACGAGAAACGAGTAACACTTAACGGGCCAGCCAGAGGCTTTGGGCCCGCGCAGGAATGTACCTGAAAAAAAGATTCCCCGATTATTCTTCCCGCCAAAATAGACGTGTGTGCTAACAGCTGACTTTTAGCGGGAAATAACAAAGGTAAACATCACGAGTGTAAACAAAATTAGCCTTTATGGAGTCAGAATCGAAGTTAAGAGTATCCATGTGAGAGGCGAGAGTTGGGCACGTCTGTTGACTTCTGTACTTCAAAACTCGTTTGACTCGGCTCAAAGCCACTGAGGTCTGTATACCTTTCACTGCTTCCAAGTAAAGTGTGCAATAATATGGCATTTCTAGTGGAATATATGAATGAATACAGTCTTCACTAACGAAATACAACTGTTACTGCATATTTATCCACGAACATTGGTGGATAAGTGTGCACCACTTATACTCCAATGTGGATAAGTGTGCACCACTTATCCTCCAATGTGGATAAGTGCTGTGCACACCATTAGCGACGGACTCGTGTCTTACAGGTCGGCGTTCGATTCCCGATGGTCCAAGTAGTTGACCACCATCACTCCGTCTGTATACCCCAGCTGCTCATAAAATATGCAGCTGCTCATATTTTGAGCTATGTTGTTATACCCATTAAAAAACAAAAACCCTGTTATACCCCTCCCCACCCCCCTTCTCAAAGATTATACCTTAAATACTGATTCATGTAAATGTTAAAGTCGGTTTTCGACACACAGCAAACCAACCGACAGGTGATATTTTGCATATATTATACAAAAATATACAATTCTGTTACCTAACTTACCTATTTATCAAATATAAGCTAGTATCATTATTTGGTTTAAAAATCAACTAGGGAAAGTAGAATACTGCTTAGAAAACCTCCCAAACCCAGCCCAAAATATCATCGTGCAAGGGGACTTCAACCTGCGACACTTAAAATGCAAAAATGTGATAAAGTTATATCTAAGGGAATCCCACGAAGCCGTCTAAATTAACACACAAATGACCTCTTAACAAGTTTTGCATTAAACCAACTGGAAAAGAAAACGCCTTGGACCTTATTTTCACAGAGATCAATTGATCAGGAACCTAATGATTACAAAACCCTGTTACTCAGATTACTCTCAAATTGAAGTTCAGATAACCATGGGCAGCAGACCTACATAGCCAATTTCAAATGCAAGAGGAGAATTCTGCAAATGCAATTTTAATGATAAACAGATGAACTTCCATTGACCCATACCAAGCCTCTCCTATTGGCCAATATGAGGCCGCACCCATTGGCCAATACGAAGCCGCTCCTATTGACCAATACGAGGTCGCTCCCAGGGGCCAATACAAGACCGCTCCTATTTACAATCACCCAAACTCACTCAAATATATATATATCTTTAACCTACGCTTGCAACAATCAAGTGATCCATTATATTATCCGGCAATCTGTTTCACAAATCTACAACGATTGTGCTTTATTGTACTCTGGTGCAATCAAATCACCAGTACTGTTTGACGAGCAGAGGCTTATAGTGCAGTTTGAGAGCTAACTACCCAGCATGCACGTCAGTTATAATTATGATGCTGAAGGTAATAACTAGCCAGCTCCAGGCTGGTCGTTACAAAATAGTCATATTGCAGAAGAAGTGGATGATTGGTTCAGGTTTTGATGAACGTACTGTTCGGTTACACATGCAATTTTTTCCCCTGATAGTTTCATATTCATTTGAGAGGTGGTTTCATAGAAACTCAGTTTGCTCGAGTTTCAATATTTAGCCTTGTCGAGAAGAATGTTTTAATGGATTATTTGCTAGATGAATGCTTCCTGGAAAATTCTCTAGATGAATACTTCCTGGAACACCCTCTAGATGAACGCTTTCTGGAACACTCTCTAGATGAATACTTCCTGGAACACCCTCTAGATGAACGCTTTCTGGAACACTCTCTAGATGAATACTTCCTGGAACACCCTCTAGATGAACGCTTTCTGGAACACTCTCTAGATGAATACTTCCTGGAACACCCTCTAGATGAACGCTTTCTGGAACACTCTCTAGATGAAAACTTCCTGGAACACCCTCTAGATGAACGCTTTCTGGAACACTCTCTAGATGAATACTTCCTGGAACACCTTCTAGCTAAATGATTCTACCTGAGCGGCAAATTACATGCTTCTATCTCCAACCCCATAATGTTCCCATCTCAAGTATTTCACATAACTTCTGTAATATAAGGGATTGTAGCATTGACAATTGGAATAGCGAAGGAGGTTCGAGGGAGACGTTTTAGGAAGGGGTGAGGAAGTAGCGAGGATGAGCTAAGGAAGAGGTGGAGGAAGGGAGAGCAGGAGTAAGGAAGGTGACCGGGGGCAGCCATAAATAAATAGTTATCAGGTCATACACCATTACAAACCAAAAGAAGCGATCAGGCGTGAAACACCGCAACAGCCTGAGTCGACCCCGGGCCATGACGGATCGTTTCCCCTGCTTCTATGTCTCACTATGGATGGTCCGCCCATCCCCACCGACCAATGAAACCATGGTTGGTCATACACCTATCTCACCATGGATGGTCCGTACACACAGATCCATCTCATACTGGATGATCCGAACACACACCAATCTCATATTGGATGATCATAACACACATACCCATCTCACACTGGATGATCCGAACACACTCACCCATCTCACACTGGATGATCCGAACACACACCAATCTCATATTGGATGATCATAACACACACCCCCATCTCACACTGGATGATCCGAACACACTCACCCATCTCACACTGGATGATCCGAACACACTCACCCATCTCACACTGGATGATCCGAACACACACCAATCTCATATTGGATGATCATAACACACATACCCATCTCACACTGGATGATCCGAACACACTCACCCATCTCACACTGGATGATCCGAACACACACCAATCTCATATTGGATGATCATAACACACACCCCCATCTCACACTGGATGATCCGAACACACTCACCCATCTCACACTGGATGATCCGAACACACTCACCCATCTCACACTGGATGATCCGAACAGACCCTAAATGATTGTGAACCCTCACGACGATATGAGAAAACTCGTTTAATAAGAAATTATAGACGATATATGTAAATAATGTAAATCCTCAACCTTAAAAGGTGTTTCAGTTAGGTAAGGATAGGTTAGGTTTGGCTAGTTTAGTTGAAGCTAGTTAGATTAAGTTAGTTTAGGGTTTTTAAGTTCATTGGGGAAATTCGATGTAAATAAATCCAATGTTAATATGCTGTAAGACTTAATTGTGGATTGTATGACACTTTGTAATGAGTTGGGGAGTATGCCCGACAGCTGGACGCTGGAGGGAGCCGGCTGTTAAAGAATGGGCTGGAGGGAGCCGGCTGTTAAAGAATGGGCTGGAGGGAGCTGGCTGGAAGGAGCCAGATGGAGGAATATGGCTTGAAGGGGCTGGATAGAGGAAGCTGGCTTGAGGGAGCTGACTGGAGGGAGCTAGCTGGAGAGAGCTGTCTGGAGTGAGGGAGATGGGTGGAGGAAGCTGGCTTAGCTAATTCTCCATCTGTTGGTTTTTCTTACTAAGGTATGCGATTTTTTCAACCTTTTAACAGGTTTATTTCATCCTTCAAATTTCCTTTTATTTTCTGAGAGATGGGGTGGGGTGGGGGGGGTGAGGTTTGAGGGGGTGGGGTTTGAGGGGAGTGAAGAGAGAGAGAGAGAGAGAGAGAGAGAGAGAGAGAGAGAGAGAATGACATTGTATCGTCAGTGAGTGAATCTGTGTTCTTCGTTCGACTTCGGTTATGGCTACAAATTACATGATTGTATCTCCAGTTCCATAATGTTCCTGGCGGCTGAGTGGACAGCGCTTGGGGCTCGTAGTCTTAATGTTCCGGGTTCGATTCCAGGCGGAGGCGGAAACAAGTGGACAGTTTCTTTCACCCTGATGCTCCTATTCACCTAGCAGTAAATAGGTACCTGGGAGTTAGATAGCTGCTATGGACTCCTTCCTGGGGGTGTGTAACAAAAAGGAGACCTGATCGAGGACCGGGCCGCGGGGACGCTAAGCCCCGAAATCATCTCAAGATAACCTCAAGATAAGATGGCACTAACATGGTTGTCTTCAAATTAATTCATCATACGGCTTTGGTTTTCCTTTGCTGCTTTAGCATCGCCTTAGATGCAGTCTCCTTGTCCTCTTGCGATAATGCGTCCAATCTCGAGTCCATATTTGTAACCGTTTTGGGTCAAGATATATCATCGTTATTCTTAAAAACCACTTTCCAACCTCAAAGCCGATTCACAGATAAGCTGAACACCCAACATCATTACTATGCTTGTCTCCATAGTTTAATGTTGCTACGCTGGAACAGACCAAAACGCCAATTTCCTGTTATATTAAAGAACTCTCTAGTCAACTCCTGCACACACTGCAGCCTCACCAACAGACAAGTGATAGATAGAAAGGCGGGGGCCAAGAGCTAACACATTGATCATTCTGGTCCAAACAGTAAATACAAATAGTAAAACACAGGCTCACTGCTACAAGTAATATCGTACACCCTCTTTCCCCAGTTCTTAATCTTGCACACCTAACATCACCAGAGCTTCAAATACTCTGGTACACCTCCGCATGAATCATCCTCTCTCGAGTATTTCAGCCAGGAATTATCCGTGACCTCACCGTGACTCTGGGCCCTCCTTCCCTACAAAGAATCTTGACGTGGTCCACCTTCTGAAGACGCTTCCGTTATCTCCTTCTCCACAATTTCCCCCACTCACGTTCACTCACCAATTTTCCTCATTCATTGAATAAAGAGGACGTTATCGGGTCTTCCCCATGACCGACATGCCGTAAATCTTTTCATATTTCCCTTCTCTCTCTCTCTCTCTCTCTCTCTCTCTCTCTCTCTCTCTCTCTCTCTCTCTCTCTCTCTCTCTCTCTCTCTCTCTCTCTCTCTCTCTCTCTCTCTCATCCATCTCCTTGACGTTTTCCAAAATTCTCACGACCCGTATTTCCACACGTGATCCCTTTTTTAATCTCTATTGACCTGCAGACTTTATTTTTCACTTTTTTTTTTATACCCTAAAGCGTAAAACTCAAACTCAGGAATTTCACACGAGTCATTATTACTAAACCCAATTTATCTAACCGAGACGGAGGGAAAACTTTACACATGGTAATTTTGAACGAAAAGTACTTCGCGACGATTCTGAATGTAAAAGTGCTTCGGTTCAATTCTAAACGCAAAGTGCGCCGCTACAATTCAGAACGCAAAAGTGCTTCCCAACGATTCTGAACGCAAAGAGCTTCACTATGATTCTGCTGAACTATTTCACCGTGAAATATTTTCTACAACTCTGCACATGTCTCTGCATAGACCATTCAGGTCCCCACTGTGAAAATACCTTTGAAGATAAAGCTAGGGGTTGAACCCAACTCCGAGCGAACACATGACCTAGCTTAATATATATTACACAATTCTGTATAAATAAGTAAATGACATTTAATAAAACATTACTGGACATTTAGGTGATGACCACATGAAATATCAAACAAGTTGCTAAAGTCTAGCAACTTGTAATTAGCTAACTGGTAATCAGCTAAAGTCTAGCTAATTACCTGGAATATGAGAACAAAGAGCTGAAATTTTATAGCGGGGTGAATGAACAATGTCCAACCATTTGAACCACCGAACGCCAACCTTACAAAACGGAAAAACGAGTGTGTAACAGGTCAAAATGAGAGCAGAGTTATATTTAAAGGAAATTCGTCATGAGTTGCCATATAAAATTAATGTTTAAGCACTGGATGAACACAGAAGTAGCCTCGTGGAACCAGAAAAAGTTTAACAATGAAAAGTAAAGAGGGCATCTCTGTTTGGGTATATTCATATAAGCAACTAATTAAACGTTGTAAGGTTCCATGCAGGAGACAAGAAAGCAGATATCGATTCCTTGCTGGAACGCCATTCAGATATCCTGGAGCAGAAAACTGGTAGCTCCTGGGACGGTTACTCAGATTTTTACGTCTTTAATAGCGTTTATGTACTAAGGGAAGGGAACTATCAGGGGACAGCGCCAAGGCATTACGACTATATAGCACTGGGAAGGGGTCAGGATAAGGATTTGGGATGGGGCGGGGGGGGGGGGAAATTGGTGCTCAACCACTTGGATGGTTGGGAATTGAACGATAACCTGCATGAAGTGAAACGGTCGCTTTACCGTCCATCCCAAGTGGTTGGACCCCGTTTATGTACTAAAGTCATGGACATGATGGCAACTCCCTGCTGCAGTCTAGTATTAATATACATTGATATTTTTCACTTAAATCCAATTATATGAATAGCTTCATTCACAGTGAATAATGAACATATAAACAACATATAAACTATCAATAACTAAATACTGTCAGCAATAGGATGAGCAGCCGACTCTCTTACACCGATGTAACCTATTGTCTTAACCAAGTCAATACTGTACTAACCTATTAGCATCTAAAGAAGAGTGAGGTCTAGCTCTCTGTGTTACAATTTAACTATTCTAACGTTCAAATTCTTTGTCCAATCAGGATGGAGGTGGCATCCACATATCTACAGCCCCTATGTCTGCACTACTTTGGGTCCTGGAGAAGGTTACGATATCCAAGGAGAGATGGACACAAATTCCTTGCTGCGTTTCTTGTGCGTCGAATTTCCAGTCAATTGAATATCTAACGGAAGTGCTCACAGGGATTCAACAAGCTTTTCACGAAACTGTGCATTTTGATCATATTAAATTTGGTCTTGGGTTCGAGTTCTGGCCGGGGAGGATTGACTGGATTCTAGTCCTTAACTGTTCGCATCTTTTCACCCAGCAAGAATAGAGTATCTAGTTGTTAACCTGTTCGCGGGCATAGTGTTCCAGGGGAACTAGTAAGGTAAGGCTTACCATTATGGTAAGGGAAAGCTGTCAGCCTGCTAACAGGAGTCAAGAGTCATATGCTCTTGTACAAAAATGTGTAAACAAATATATATATATATATATATATATATATATATATATATATATATATATATATATATATATATATATATATAATATTGATATAATATATTATATCTAATATGGGGATCTAAACATTCCCTCT